ACTGAATCTTCCCCCATTACCAATGCAGGTTGCCAGAATTAGAATCAGTGTGCCTTTGGATTTGCTGATGAGGTTGTGGACCAGTTTTACCATTTCCCTAAAGGAAAGTTACCACTCTAGAACTGTCACATCTAGGTTTTCTGTGGGAGCATCTGAATTTCCTGGTACCAAGCATCTGCCCATTTTTAGTCTATGCTTGGACCTCATTTAGTACATGTACTGTACTTCTCTACTATACTTATGTAACATCATGTATTATAGACATATCTGTGTATCTTATGGGATCTTAGAGACCATCTTGTCCAAATGTTCTTAACCTGGGATCCAGAGACCTCTATCAGACCCCCAAGGGGTCCATGAACTTGGATGGGAAAAATATTACCAGTTTAATATGATTGGTTTTCTCTGCAATCCTGTGTATTTTGTTTTGTGCACTTAAAAACATTATTCTCAGAAGGGTGCATAGGTTTTGCCAACCTGCTAAAGGGGTCCATCACACACACACACACACACACACACACACACACACACACATACGTCAAGAACCCTCAATCTAGTCCAACTTCTGTATTTTATAGAGGAAGAACCAAAGCCCAGAGTAGTTAAGTGACTTGCCTGACATCACACAGCTAGGATTTGAACTAGTTCCTCAGGCTTCAGATTTGGTGCTTTTTGCATTATGAGACCAACGAATGCAGAGGTCTTCAAAGAATCACTAAATTGGAAGGACCTCTAGTCACCTAGATCTATCTATGATTAAACAAGAATCTCATCTACAAAATCCAGTGTCTGCTTGAAGTGTTCCAGTGAAAGGGATCCCATTCCTTCCAGAGGGCAACCATTCTATTTGGGCAGCTCTCATTGTTTAGCTAAACTCTCTACGTACAACCTGCAACAAGTGTTTAATGTCTGTCGATTACTGAATGAATGAATGAGAAGGGGAGCTTCTCTGTGGCTGGCTTCTGGCAAGTCACTAGGACCACCCTCCTTATGGACTTCCAAAACCAAGGCTAAATTTAGTTTCACTCTGTTCCTGTTCTTATCTTCAGATAATGACAGGGGCAAGTCACTGCTGAAAAGAGGCCTTAACAACCCTTCCTAACTGGAAAGGGGCCTTCTGAGGTCACCACCATTCCGACTCCCCAGCTACTTAATGCATCAGGCTGATGCCAAAAGGCTGAAAGGGCAGGACTGCCTAGTGGGCTCTAGGAGTGGCCCTGCTGAAGAGTTCTGCTTGGCTGCTGTTTCACCCTGAGATTATGTGGCTATTGTAGAAGATCCCTGTTCTTTGGAGGGGCCTGGGAAGGGACGTTGGGTAGTTGCAGGAATGAGGAGAAGGGAAGCAGAGACTGATCTGTTCTCACCTAGGACCTTTTGCCAAAGCCAACAGTGTCATGTAAGAGTACCCACTGTACCTGGCTTTCCCAACCTAAGGGCTTCCACTAGGAAAAGGGCCATAAGATTAAAGCTTATGTAGCTAGAAGGAGACTCAGAAATCATCTGGTTCAAAGAGGACAGGACCACCGAGGCGAGGTGACTGACTCAGCTGTGTCCCACACAGAGTAGATGGCAGAGCTGGAATTTTGAACCCGGGTCCTCTGACTTCTAAGTGCATCAGCCTTTCCCTTGCGTCACATGGGGGTACATACTTAGGGGCAGGAAGGGGGAGATGCCTAGAGAAGCAGTATAGTGAGCACAGTGGAAATAAAGGATTTGGAATCAGAGGACCTGGGACAAAGGCATAGGATTTAGAACTGGAAGAGACTGTTAAAATTAGTCCGACTCGTCTCCATTTTACACCTGAAGAAACTGAGGCCCAGAAAGAGGGAAGGGGACTCATCCAAGGTCACAAGGCTAGTAAAGGGCAAAGCCCCAGTGGAAACCAGGCCCAAATGAATTCAATTATTGGATTATAGACTTATTTCTCATCCCGAAGGTTGTATTATAAAGTTGTAGGTCAGGGAGCAGTTTGTATCAGGTAAAGGGGGTCATCTTGAAGGTATGTATTGAAGCTTGTACTGGCCTCTCCCCTTCCTTTCCTCCAAGTCTTCTTCTAACACTCACCAGAAAGTCCACGGGCTCTCAACAATTCTCCCTTCACCATCAAGGCCATTCTTTGTCTACAAAAGCTCTCATACCCCAGAAGCCTCCCTGCTCCTTGTGGTAAGTCCCTTTCCTTCTCTGGGTCTCAGATGTTTCTTCTATAAAATGAGGGGGTGGGGGACTAGATGGTCCTTTAAAGATGGAACTTTATGGTTCCTTCCAGCTGGAAATTCTATGATCCTGGCTCCCTGCAGTACCCTCAGTGGAAACCAGCTCTACTTATCAGTGGAGAGCACCAGGGAGCTGCCCAAAACCATCAATGATGCTGGGTTTCTGTCCTCTGACCCTACAGTGTCTCAGTCTCCTGATGCAGAGGCATGGTGGAAGAGATCCTCAAAGCGGGAAGGTCCATTCCAAGACTATACTTTGTGATTAGATCGTTCTCAGGGGATCTGAGGATCAGAGGATCTTAGGTCCTAGAACAAGGTAAAAGGGCCCTCAGAGATAAATCTAGTCCAGGGGTGGGGAATCTATAGCCTTGAGGCCACATGTGGCCCTTTGACTGAATCCAAACTTACAGAACAAATCCGCTAGTACCACCCCTTCATTTTACAGATAAAGAAACTGAGGCCCAGAGAAAGGGTATTAGATTTGATCTATTAGGGTATGATTTCCTTGAGGGCAGAGATTGTCTTTCGCTTATTTTTATAGTCCCAGCCTTTAGCACAGTGCCTAGCACATAGTAGGTACTTAATGTTTATTGATTGGTTGATGTGTTTACACATGTATTTAGTCTTGAAGTTGGGCCCACAGAATCTGCTGCCCCTATATCCAGGGCTCTTTCCACTATAGCCACACTGGGCATTTCACTAACTTGACAATGGCATCCAGAGTGGAGAGAACACTGGGTATGGAATCAGCAGAATGAGGTGTGGATTCTGGCTCTGCCATTTACCTTCCCTGTGACCTCAGACAAGCCATCTCCTTTCTCAGGGTCTGAGTTTCTTCATTTGTAAAATGTGGGGTTTCCAAGATACCTTCCACTCTGAAGTTCCATGTGCTACATTCTAGGGGTCCTTAGAACCCAAAATATGAAGAAATGGTGACTATATAGGGAATTAAAGATCCTTCTCCCACAGTCCGATTTAATTTAATAAACATTTATTAAAGGCCTATTATGGTCAGGGGCCTCTATGGAACCCCACCAAATGATACAAGTATAGAGGAAAATGACACAGTCCCTGCTCTCAAGCAGCTTACATTCACTGATGATGTGGGAGAATGCAACACATATTCAAACAATATAATATAAAACAGAAAGTGATAATAGCAGAGGAGAGAATGGGGGGAAATCTGAAGATCATTTCCAGCTTTGGGAGTGATGGTGGTTGCTGGGAGTAGAGAAGTGGGAATCCAAATCGGGTGGGGGAAGCCTCATGGATCTGACATTTGAGATGTGCCTTAAGAGAAAGATTTCAACAGGTAGAAATGAGGAGGAAGTACCTTCCAGGGGTGGGGAGAGGGAGCAGCCAGAGTGAAGACATGGAGGCAGACGCAGGCAGGATGAGGTCAGGGAATAACTAGCAGTCCAGTCTGAGCGGAATGTAGTATGTGAAGGGAATGACTACGAAATAAGCCTGGAGAGGTAGCGGGCAGTCACATCGGGAAGGGCCTCCAAGGATGTGGCCAAGAAGCTTCATTGCCTGAAGACAATGGGGAACCACCAAAGGGTTTTGAGCAGGAGAGCGATGGTCAGAACAGTCTATTAAGAAGATTAATTCTTCCATTATGGCAACCTCAACTGAGAGGTTGTTTGGGGGTTATAACAGAAACAACAAAATACAAACATCATGCAGATTTCACCGTCCAGGGACCCCCGAGTGGGTCATTAGTTGGCTCTTATCGCCCCTGCACCACTTTCCCAAAGGACTTACTTGCTGGGCCAAGGACTTGTCTCTAGACACTGAGAAATGAAACCTATTTGGAAGGGTGGGCTTGGGCTAAATGTCTGCCTTATGGATTTTCATTTGGAGCTTTGAGGCTGTTTGGAATTAGTCAAAACAATAAATGAAAGTGCTACCAAAAAAAGCCTGGGATAGTGGAAAGATCATTGTAAACTGGGAAGCCCTATCCAATTAATCTTTCATATATCTGCCAGAATATTCTTCTTCTTCCCATATCACTACCCTGTCCAAAATCTTTCAGTGTCTCCTTACTGTCTGTGGGGCAAATTATGAATCCCTCTGCCTGGCCTTCAAGGTCTTTGTGATCTGGTTCCAACTTACCTTTCCAGCATTACTTTATATTACAGCCCTGCACACGTTCGATGCTCTAACCAGACTGGACTGCGGGACTCCTAAGTTCTTTCCTGGGGCCATCTTGCCTTCTCCTGCCTCCAATGTCTCCATTCCTGGAATGCATTCTCTCCTCATGTTTGTTTATTGAAATCCCTCTTTTCCTTCTACTCCCCTTCCCTCTCCACCTGTCACCAATCAGTCTTTTAAGTAAAAGTGCCCTCTGGCTGCCATCTCAGATTTTCCTAGTGTGCTCGGTATGGATTCTTTGCCCCTTAGTTCACATTTCTCCCAGTACCATATTTGTGTGCATGATGTATGCCATCTGTGTGTTAGGTTAGGGACCACAAAGGCAAGGGGCTATGCTGTTTGTCATCTCTGTATCTTTAGTCTCAAGCACAGGGCCCTGTATATAATAAGCACTCAGTGAATGCTTGTTGAACTTAATTGAAAAGAATTCTAGTCCTAACACTTCTCAGTCATGTGTCCTTGGGCAAGGAGGATCATCCTTCCCTACCAGGGTTAAAATGAGCCTCAGATGAGATGATGGAAGTAAAAGCACTTTGTGAACAGGGCAGCATGGTGTGGTGACTGGGAGTCAGGAGACCTGGGTTTAAATTTAACTCTATCACTTACTGGTTCTATGACCTTGGGCAAGTCCCTTTCCCTCCCTGGGGCTCAATTTCCTCTTCTGTCACAGGAGATTGGACTCCATTATCTCGTAGGCCACTGTGCACTTTAAAATCCTACGATCCCAACATCTTATACAAGCTACTGTTATTGTAGCCTCTTGGATAGGATGACCTTGAATTTTATGCATCCTAGAGTTTTATGAAGTAAGTGCTTCATGAGCTCTTCCCATACTATGATGGGATTCCAAAACCGCTTGGCTTGTCATAGTCTCGCCCTGAGGGATTAGGCCTTCACTGACTTTGCCTTGGACTACTCATTTTTAATGGCACCATCACACAGAAAGGGGATGTGGACCAGGGCCCAATCCCCATCCCTGAATCCTGTTCCTTTTCCATCTGCAATTCTCCAAGTGATGCCAACGGACAAGCAAAACCTGAGGCTATGTGATTGGAGGGCGAGAAGATCCTGGCAGTGTCCTGGCTGCCAGGAGGATGGAGGCCTGCTCAGTGCAGCTTTTATCTGTCCTACTCTGCCTCCCCACTTTCTTGCGTGGTCGGGTGCTGACCGAAGGGCTGGCTATTCCTGTTTTCACATTTGTTGTTGCCGCAGGGCCTGCAGGAAGATCTGCTTCACTTGGCTCATGGTCTCATGGTATAACCTGAAGTCCTCCTCCTTCACCTTCAGGATGTTGTTCATGGTGGCTTTCAAGGCTTCGTTCTCTTCGGCCTGGATCAAAAGTCTATACAGATACAAATGCAAAGCAGAACTTACCTTTCAAACAAGATACACTGGGAAGAGGATGGGCCTGGAAGCAGGAAATGCCTGAGTTGGAAGCTCAGCTTGGACACTTGCTCAGGGTGCGGGTGGGGCATGGCTCCAGGTAAAGGACTTTTAAATGACCTTCTGGAGCCTCAGGTTCTTTATGTGTAAATGAGGATAATACTGGCACCCCCTGCCTGAGAGGAATGTTGTGAGGAAAGTGCTTTGTGAACTGAAAAGCACTGTAGAAATGTGAATGATCATTATTTCTGTAGAGCTCCTCGGGGCTCTTTCAGGCATAGTGAGGCCTTCTCAATTGCGGCTTTAAGGGAGTTAGGAATAGATACATCTCTAGAATCTCCTTCCCCCATTCATGTCCAAGTAGGACTTCAGTTCATGCCATCAGGGGAAGCAGGAGGTCGAGGATGGAGGCCGGGGCAATCAGGCTAGGATCGGAGCTATCTTGGGGAATGTGATTTTCAGGTTTAAGTTAAATTCCTGATTATATTCATTAATGGGGAAAGAAGGACCCCAACTCTATATATCCAAGGCTTGACTTTCTTCCCACCAGATACTAGTTTCACAACGAACACACACACACACACACACACACACACACACACACACACACACACA